TATGTATTAATTATTTATTACTACATAACAAATTACCTTTAGACTAAGTGGTTTAAAGCAACAACATTTATTATCTATTGGTCGAATTTAGGGATGTTTTAGCTGGATCCTCTGGCTAAGCTTCATCTCCTGGGTCAGGGTGTTTAAAAAGAATGTGTTGAATATGTGGACCAAAGCTACAGCCAGCTCAAGGCTTGACTGGTGATGGTGCATTTCCAAGCTTGCTCACGTGGTTATTGGCAGGATTCAACAACTTTGTGAGGTGCTTGTGCCCTTAGGACTGAGCACCTTAAATCTTGTCTGAAGGCTGCCCTCAGCTCCTTTCCGCATGGGTCTCTCTGTATGATGGCCCATAAGGTGGTAGCTTGTATCATTAGAATGAGCAAATGGGGACAATGTGAACAAGACACAGGAGCTCCAGTCTTTTTGTAACCTTACCTTGGAAGTGAAATTCTGTCACTTTTGCTGCATTTTATTTAAGAAACAAGTCACTAGGTTCAGCCAGCACTCAAGAGGAGGAGATGATACAAGGGCATAAATAGTGGACAGGGATCCTTGGCAGCCGTTTTAGAAGCTGCCTACAACAGCAAGTGGCATATTAATTACATAAATAATTATAAATGGGTCTATAAAATAATGCAATCAGTATATACTACATAATAATTTGCTGCATGGTATGCTGAGGTACTTCCCCATAGATGATTATTTTATTTAAGCCTTTTCTAGTATTCTCTGGGAGAGGTGGTAATTTATCATCTCCAGTTTACAGATTGATGTTCAGTGAGGTTACTTAGCTATGATGCAGCAGAACTGTGACTCCAATCTAGACACTGCTGATTCTAGCACCCATACTTTTAATTTCTGTGTCTTGTCAGCATTAAAATAAAATTACTTTTTTTGGAGCACTTCTTATGTGCCAAGAATTATGATAAGTGGTTTATATATATTAACCTTATTTAAACCTCATAGCAACTCTATGAAGTCTTCCTTATCTTACTGATATTACACTCTGGCTTCCAGATTCAGAAAAAGTACTTCGAAAAATCAAATATATTTGTTGTTCCAGAGAAATTAAACAAATATTCCCCATAGAATCTCTGTAAATACCAAAAGAATTGAATCATTTAAATACTTCAGTACCATAAAAAAGTGATATCAGTCTAGCCTAGGCAACACGAGATTTTGTCTTTTTTTTTTTTTTTTTTTTTTTTTTTTTTTTTTTTTTTTTTTTTTTGGATATAAAGTCTCGCTCTGTTGCCCAGGCTGGAGTGCTGTGGCGTGATCTCCACTCACTGCAACCTCTGCCTCCCGGGTTCAAGCAAATCTCTGCTTCAGCCTCCCAAGTAGCTGGGATTACAGCCGCTGGCCACCATGCCTGGCTATTTTTGTATTTTTAATAGAGACAGGGTTTCACCATTTTGGCCAGGCTGGTCCTGAACTCCCAATCTTGTGATTTACCCGCTCACTGCACCTGGCCAATTTCGTCTCAAAAAAAAGTGATATCACAATAAATTTTCAGAAAGAATCCTGGCACATTTCAGTCCACTTAGTATTTTACAGAAAAAGGGTACTATGTGAGTCTTAAGCAGTAATAAATTTGTAAATTCTTGAAAAGAAAGCCCACTCTGGAAGAAATCTCAACAAACTCTGCTATATAAATTTTAGTTAGAAATTACCTCATGATATATGGAATTGATTTTAAAATATTTTTACTAATTTGAACTATTTTTACTAATTCTTCCATAAATAAGTTGAGTGGCTTACACATTAAAGGCTCTATATACTTTCTTTAGTCATATCATTGTCTTTGCAAATTGAATTTTCTAAATTAAGAAAACACGATAAATTATTTTTTCACCATTAGAAGGTAAACCATAAAACTCTTCTTGGCCAGGTGCAGTGGATCAGGCCTATAATCCCTGCACTTTGGGAGGCCAAGGCAGGCAGATCACTTGAGGTCAGCCTGGCCAACATGGTGAAACCCTATCTATACTAAAAATACAAAAAATGGGCCAGGCGTGGTGGCAGGTGCCTGTAATCCCAGCTACTCAGGAGGCTGAGGCAGGAGAATCTCTTGAGCCCTGGAGGCAGAGGTTGCAGTGAGCCGAGATTGTGCCACTGCACTCCAGCTTGGGTAACAGCAAGACTGTCTTAAGAAAAAAAAGAGAGAGACTCTCTTGGTCTTTTAGGCCAATTAAATTTAACCAACCAAGGAATGCCTTTTTACAAGACTGACAATAATATGAAAGTTTATTAATGACTTTATTTTTGAACCATTTCCTTATAATAGCATTCTCTCACTTTCCGCTTTACCATTTGCTATCTTAAGTAGGGCATAAATACAGTTTAAGCTATATTCATTAATGCCTACTAGGTGCCAAATACCATTCTGAGTGCCTGGGATACATCAGTGAACACAATGAACAAAACTGTGGAGTTTATATTTTAGCAAGCATGGTTCAGACAATAAACAGTAACCATAAGTAAGTAAGCAAGCATTCATTGTAGTTAGTAGATAGGGAAAAAAATCTGTACTTGTTCTTTTAAACCATGCAGAGGAAACTTGCACAGAAAACTACTTGTTTTTTAGTTTAACTTGGTTTTTTTGACCCCAAACCTGGGGATTTAAAAAATACTAGTAAAGACAAAAAAAAAAATGTGAAACATTCTCTTCAAAAACATAGTTCAAATTATGCTATTATTTAAGAAAATGACAATGTTTTGCTTCTATAAAAATGTATTGCTTTTTACAACTCAAGTATTATCAATATTAATGTATAATTTAGTAATGTCTTAGATATTTTTGGTGATGGTTTAGAAAAAATGATAGTATTTTTTGTTATACGAATGTTATTCAAAATTTATGTTTATGTAAAGTTTTTTTACTATTCAAGTTATGCTGGCTTTAAATATTATATTTTTATTGTAATTCCAAGGAAAATGTTCAGCACGTCTTTTTATTATTTAAATTATTCTTTTTAAGAAAGCTACCTTTGCTTTATTTGTTTATCAGTTTTCTGTTTTCTGCATTACTTTTGCTGTGAAGGGAAAGAAAAAAATTTTAATACTTGATATACAGTTGACCCTCTGTAGCTGCAGTTTCAGTGTTCATGGATTCATCCAACTACAGATCAAAATATTTGCCAAAGAAACCAAAAAATCATCTATCTACATAGCATTTCCATTGTATTAGGTTTTATAAGTAATCTAGAGATGATTTAAAGTATTTCAGAGGATGTGTGTAGGTTATATGTAAATACTAAACCATTTTATGTAAGTAACTCAAAGATCTGTGGATTTTGGTGTCCAGGGAGGGTCCTAAGGGACAGCTGTATATCTTAATAGCTTGGAATTGTTAAAGGTATATTATAGTTTCAGCATATAATAACATTTTACAGTGTTGCATATGTTGTTACAAAATTATAAATTCAAATGACTTACTGAATTGAATATTCCATCAGAATGCATTTATTTTTTAATTTGGTTTTTAAGTTACAGAGCCCTAAATATCTGTATTGTTTTTACATTAGATGAAAAGTAGGGGATACCTGAGTGTAGAGGAGTGAGAATTTGAGAGTTTTGAGAAAGGGATAGGATGAACAATGGAGTCAATAAGAAGGATGTTCTTCGTAGATTTATGAATAGTTATTAAAACAACAGACAACTTTTTACTTGGATTATTTCTTTTTAATTTGGTATGGTTTTCAAACACTTCTCAGCAAGTACAATTCTTTTCATTCTATATTTTAGCCAGTGTAAATCAGTAACATTAAGGTAAATGGTGTAGGAGTAAATGGTAAATGGGAAGGAAATAGAGGACAGCCGTTTGAAGAGATTTTCTTCTCTTTGAATACTTGGTGTTTTAAAAACAATTGAGATTTAAGGTGCAAAAGTAGAAAAATAGTGTCCCTGTGCTCTGATTTTTGAAGCCTCTATCTTTTCTGCTAATCTTTTTACTGCTGTTTTTGATTGGTGGTCAGGTGCCCCCACATTCAGTCTTGTATACAGAAATTATTTCTTGTTTTTTCTCTCTTCTCTTTAATATGGAACTCTGTCTGGACATATGATTTCTGTTCTGTAGCTTTGAAATTATCAAAAGGTTTTTAAAATTAAAAAAAAAATTTGTAGAAATAGGATTTCATGTTGCCAGCTTGGTCTCAAATTCTGGGCCCAAGCAATCCTCCTGCCTTGTCTCCTTCCAAAGTGCTGGGATTTACAGATGTGAGCCGCTGTGTCTGGCCTGTCAAAAGGTTTTAAATTGTATCTTTGCCTACAAATTCTTTCTTTGGGGAGAAAATAGTTTTGTTTCTAAGGGAATTCTAAGCCTAATCGTTGTAAAATGACAAATGAAGCCTGTAACCAAGCCTGGAAAAGCCTGATCCATTTGAACCTTTGCTTCTGCTATTTGGAATGACTGCCAGCTGGTTAATGGCTGTGATAACCTTTACTTGGCTAATATGCATGCCAGTTTTAGAATTTATCCTAAAAGTGACAATTTGCCTGTCACCTGCAGAGTTAAGTGGTATAATCGTAGCTCAGCAATAAGGGAAGAGAATGGAGTTGAGAACTGGTAGGAATGAACTCACTTATACAGGGAACATGTTTTTTTCTTGAGAGAATGAGCATACTAGCCCAAAATATGTGGTTGAGTACATTTTGTTTTTGATTGATTCTTCAAAGATGCAATTTTTAAGTCTTCATATATAAGCTATCGTATAATTATATAAGAGAAAAAGAAAGTGATGATGGCACTTCAAGGACTTTCAGGCTTAGAACTAATTAGCCTGTTATCTGGTAGAGCACTAATGTACATAGTTGATTTTAGTATACAAATTAACAGATTTAAAGCTTTTACCTTTTACTAATTATTAGGCAGTTAGGTTATCTTCTAGCTTGTTGGCCAGTCAACACCAATGTGTTTCCTTTAACTCCATGAATCTCAGTATATGCCATTTTATGTATCTTAAATAATTTAAATACATTTCTTACTCTTTCCACAGCATGTAGAGTCCATGAAGTACAGGACAATAAAGCTTCCTACACATATCACCAGAAGGATCTCTGTGAAAGATTCACCACAGGACTACTAGAGAGAATAATTTGTCTGAAGCATCATGTGTTGAAACAACAGAAGTCTATTCACCTGTGCACTAACTAGAAACAGAGTTACAATGTTTTCAATTCTTTGAGCTCCAGGACTCCAGGGAAGTGAGTTGAAAATCTGAAAATGCGGCCATGGACTGGTTCCTGGCGTTGGATTATGCTCATTCTTTTTGCCTGGGGGACCTTGCTGTTTTATATAGGTGGTCATTTGGTACGAGATAATGACCACCCTGATCACTCTAGCCGAGAACTGTCCAAGATTCTGGCAAAGCTTGAACGCTTAAAACAGCAGAATGAAGACTTGAGGCGAATGGCCGAATCTCTCCGGTAGGTTCTAAAATACTGAAGGAAGAATGATGAAATATTGTACTTTGTTTTTAGGTATAGTGCTTCATTCAGCTAGGAAAAGTAGTTAATTATTTTTATAACCTGTTGTCTTTGCCAAAAGTTAAATGTCTTAGCATGACAGTTTTCTATCTCCAAACATTTAATACAGAGTAAGCTTGTCCAACCCACAGCCTACAGGCCACAGGTGGCCAGGAGAGCTTTGAATGAGGCCCAACACCAAATTTGTAAACTTTCTGAAAACATTCTGAGATGTTTTTATTTTTTCTTAAGCTCATCAGCTATCATTAAGTGTACTTTATATGTGGCCCAAGACAATTTTTCTTCCAGTGTGGCCCAGGGACACCCCAATATAATTTCTCCATAGTTTTGCATGATTATTTCACATATAAAATTTAATGTAGAAAAATGATGCCATTTCATTTATGTACTTAGATTTCATTTCTAGTATGTATTTTTAAAACTTGATATGTTAAATGTAAACTATGATTTAAACTAGTATATATTAAAAATTTTATATGAACAGTAACGGACATAACTGGGAGGCAGAGTTAGTCTATAACTTATTAAAATGCAGAAACTAAAGTTTATCATTAAACAACTGGATCTGGAATGTGGAGAATGATTATCATTGCTGTTTCTAATCTGTAAAAAATGTGACTTACTTGTTAGAAGGCATCAACTATTTGGAAAATCAAAGTCTCCTATATATTTTCAGGGAGCAAGTAAACTTAATATTAATAGGTGATCTCTGTATTTTTTTTCCAAAGTTATTGAGGTAAAACATTACCTAGTATCTTTTAATTCCTCTCCTTCATATGTGAAGATGATCATGTAGTACTTGCTCTCTCAAACTAGAAAAGCTAGAAATGATGATTTGAGACTCATTACTCCAGAGGAGGTAATTGACCCTAAGGGAAGTGGTATAGAGAAAAAGAGCTGAAAGTTCATTTCTCTTTGAGAAACACATAAGTTAAGGAGTAGAAATTGGAAACATCCAGTTGTGCAGAAAGCCTTAAGAAAAGTTGGGGAAGAATAGCGGGAGAGAGCTGTTACGGAAACTGAGGAACATTCTGTGAAGGAGAACGCAGTTGGCAATGTTAAATTACTCTTGATGCTGTAGAGAAGATACCCATGGTCCTCTCATTTTCTGTTCTCACTGCCCTTCACTGTTTGTTTAGACTGAGATTTTTCTCTTTCTCTAGTTTCATAACTTTTTTCTTCACCATAATATTATTTGGGTCCTTTTATGTCCTATGGAAGACAATGCTAGATACTAAGATAAAAATGAATGAAACATTAATCTTGTCATTTATAGTAGTAGCACCATGCAAGAAGATAGCAAGTGGTCAGGGATTAGAAAGTGGACAGAACTCCTTGAATTTTCTGTTACGTTCTTTCCTACTTGGGGTACTCAGGGAACATCATGGAGGAAGGTGATCTTCCAGAAAAGTCTTATTCATTCTCAAGATTGGTAATTTAGGCGTTAGTAATAATAGCTGTCATTTATCACATGCCAGGTACTGTGCCAAGGACTTTGCATGGATCATCTTACTGAATTTCACACTGTCTTTATGAGATGTTAGTACCTTGTTTGTAACCATTTTACAGATTAAGAATTATACAGATGTTAAGTAATTTAATTTGCCAAAGGTCACACTTTTCACAAG